TCAATGAGCTTGGAGCCCAATTCTTTGAGAAATCCCAAGGCACTCTTGCCCAGGGGCCATGCGTCTCAGACGCTATGGGAACAAAGATGTATTGACCTTTCAATCGCCTGTATTTGACTGATTTTGCTATTTCCCTGTGGTTGGCCGCCCCACCTGCTTGATCAGCTCCGAGGTGTACATATGTGTCAGCCAGGGTGGATACACATGTGTAGTCCAACACCAAGTGCTTGCCCCCTTTCCAGATGTGTATGGTGATGCCATCAGGGCGAAGTGCTGGGAAATCCGGGTTTTGGACCCCTAGGATGCGAGGTTCTCTCTCCGCTGGGCACCCAGCTGAGACGAGGCTTCTCTTGATGATGTCATTGACCTCGTTGTGTCTTGCATGCCAGCCCTTTGTGCTTCCGCAATGCAACCCATGCAGTCCGTATTGGTCTGCTTCCACCCTGTTGCAAATACACTTGTATTCAGTGTGAATTGGGGCACCAAGGCGGAGGGCCACTGCTACACGAAGGGATTCTGGATCTAGGCGCGTGCCCATTGCCGAGATGGGTACTGCCAGGAGGAAGTCTCCTGCATGGGGGGCACGCACTGCTCTGAGGCGGGCTTTCTCCTAGTCTGATGTTGTGGCGCTGAGCATGGCATCAGTTATTTTTTCTACTAGTGGGTGGTCCCAGCCGGACTGTTTAAGTTTTTTGTTGCTTCTATGATGGGTGCTGGGCTGCAAGAGCATCCCACTGATTTGAACATTCAGTGAAATATATATACATATACTGTATATACATTATATATATATATATATATATATATATATATATATATATATATATATATATATATATATATATATATATATATATATATATGTCGTACCTAGTAGCCAGAACTCACTTTTCAGCCTACAATGCAAGGCCCGATTTGCCTAATAAGCCAAGTTTTCATGAATTAATATATTTTCTCTATTTTTTTTCTTGAGAAATGATAAAGCTACCCATTTCATTATGTATGAGGTAAATTTTTTTTTATTGGAGTTAAAATTTACGTAGATATATGACCGAACCTAACCAACCCTACCTAACCTAACCTAACCTATCTTTATAGGTTAGGTTAGGTTAGGTAGCCGAAAAAGTTAGGTTAGGTTAGGTTAGGTAGGTTAGGTAGTCGAAAAGCAATTAATTCATGAAAACTTGGCTTATTAGGCAAATCGGGCCTTGCATAGTAGGCTCAGAAGTGAGTTCTGGCTACTAGGTACGACATATATATATATATATATATATATATATATATATATATATATATATATATATATATATATATATATATATACATATATATATATATATATACATACATATATATACATACATATATATACATACATATATATACATACATATATATACATACATATATATACATACATATATATACATACATATATATACATACATATATATACATACATATATATATATACATATATATACATACATATATATATATATATACATATATATATATATATATATATATATATATATATATATATATATATATATATATATATATATATATAATGAGGCTCCTTCACCAAGAAAAAATACAATATTTGACATTGTTAGAGTTCTATATGGTCCGCACGTCTGCATTTGTATAGTGTCTTCTATAGCCCCCCCCCCCCCCCCCCCCACATCCTCCCCCAATTACTTAGACATTTTGTTTCGAATTGTACTTGAAAACATTAGTAAGAAAACAGGTCCACAGTAAATTGCCAAAGGCTACAAATTACGCGAGGCGTTGCCAGCGAACACATCAGAGACAACCACAGCCTAGTTCACCTGCCTCGTTACTTCTGCTTCACTCATACTTTACAGTCATCGGAAAAACTTACAATCATCACTTATATGTGTGTGTGTGTGTTAATTATATTATAAATCTTTAATGAGAACAGGGAGAGGAAGTGTTATCTAACTGCTCATTTAAGCCTAACCAGACGGCGCTAGTTTTTTGTTTTTTAGTTTGTTATCCACCACAGACGTGGACACTCATTTATGCAATATGCTAACCAACATCAATACATTTTCTTCTGTCCTCCATAGACAGGGTTGGGGATAATGAGTTGTTGAGCTCTCAACCACAGGGGATTGTTTGGCTTTTACAATGCTAACCAGTATTGATACAATTACGATTGTCAATACATTGACAGGATTAGAGATCTCTTACATGTAGTTCAGTGGGTTATTGAACACTCAACCACAGAAGGTGACTGAAGTCCTCCAATGGTAACCAGCATACATTCTTGTGTCTTTGACAGAGACAGTGTTCGAGTGTCTTTGACATAGACAGTGTTCGGGTGTCTTTGACATAGACAGTGTTCGAGTGTCTTTGACATAGACAGTGTTCGAGTGTCTTTGACATAGACAGTGTTCGAGTGTGTCTGACATAGACAGTGTTCGAGTGTGTCTGACCTAGACAGTGTTCGAGTGTGTCTGACATAGACAGTGTTCGGGTGTGTCGACATAGACAGTTTTCGAGTGTGTCTGACATAGACAGTGTTCGAGTGTGTCTGACCTAGACAGTGTTCGAGTGTGTCTGACCTAGACAGTGTTCGAGTGTGTCTGACATAGACAGTGTTCGAGTGTGTCTGACATAGACAGTGTTTCGGGTGTCTTGACATAGACAGTGTTCGAGTGTTCTGACATAGACAGTGTTCGAGTGTGTTCTGACCTAGACAGTGTTCGAGTGTGTCTGACCTAGACAGTGTTCGAGTGTGTCTGACATAGACAGTGTTCGAGTGTGTCTGACCTAGACAGTGTTCGAGTGTGTCTGACATAGACAGTGTTCGAGTGTGTCTGACATAGACAGTGTTCGAGTGTGTCTGACATAGACAGTGTTCGGGTGTGTCTGACATAGACAGTGTTCGAGGTGTCTGACATAGACAGTGTTCGAGTGTGTCTGACATAGACAGTGTTCGGGTGTGTCTGACATAGACAGTGTTCGAGTGTGTCTGACATAGACAGTGTTCGAGTGTGTCTGACCTAGACAGTGTTCGAGTGTGTTCTGACCTAGACAGTGTTCGAGTGTGTCTGACTAGACAGTGTTCGAGTGTGCTGACCTAGACAGTGTCGAGTGTGTCTGACATAGACAGTGTTCGAGTGTGTCTGACATAGACAGTGTTCGGGTGTGTCTGACATAGACAGTGTTCGAGTGTGTCTGACCTAGACAGTGTTCGAGTGTGTTGACATATACAGTGTTCGAGTGTGTCTGACTAGACAGTGTTCGAGTGTGTCTGACATAGACAGTGTTCGAGTGTGTCTGACATAGACAGTGTTCGAGTGTGTCTGACATATACAGTGTTCGGGTGAGTGGTCAACAGTGACCGGAGTTGCCACGCCCCAATATTTACCTTCCATATCCTATTAATTAGCAATAGTTACTTGAAAATCGTCTCCAATAAACTCTCAAGATGAACTGACATGCACTTTTTTATTAACAATAAACACAAATAATCAATAATCACCTTTAAATAGGCGGACGTGGTAGGGAGTGGAGCAGGCAGGTCGCCATACTAGTGGTATGGCGACCCCCTGAGTAGTGGTGGTGGTGGTGGGACGGGCTGGGTGGACCATCCCTCCCTCCCGTACACCTGCCCCCAGCACGGCTAGGTTTGGCGTGACCATCACCAAGTCTACTTAGCTAACTTGAATTTGATTGCTATGTGATCGCGTCGGGAATTGATATGTGGAGTGTACGAGAGAGAGGTGTTAGAAACACACAGGGACTAGGAACTCTCTCGAGTGTGCTGTGGTTAGGGGGGGGGGGGACACACTAACTGATCTCTAACCCTGTCCATGGGAGGATAGAAGAAAATGTGTATATATGGTGTTTAGCATTGTCAATGTGTGGATACGTCTGTGGTAGAAAAGAAACAACTAACACTCGTCTTGGATTTTTAAATTATTAATTACGATAAACTTTCAGTTTTTTATTTGTGCAGTTTCTGAGTATAGTTATTTTACAAGATTTGTGCAACTACTGTATGCTTTTCTGTGATCCACTTTACTGTCAACAGTCGCCCACTTCGTCCCCAGGAGAACGTCTAGAGCGCCACGACAAAATTGAGGTAAGTGAAAAATGTACTGAGTACATGGCTATTTTAATGATAGGCTGTGGATGGGGTGGCGCGGGATATTAAGAAATACCCGTTGGGTTGTTCAGGTCGTCTGCTGTGCCCATACGCATCTGGAACTGTCTTAACTGCCTGAAGGAGCATACTGTCAAACAAGGGGTCTTGTCACTCTACAGTCTCAAACTTAAGTTAACTTGCTAGTAAAAAGTGTGAGTGTGTGGGGGGGGGGGGGGGAGTACCTGTTAGGATACTACTGTATCTATATTTACTGCACATTACTCACCTTGCCTTGCCATGATTTCGGGGCTCAACGTCCCGGCGGCCCGGTCCTCGACCAGGCTTCATCCTCCTCGACCAGACCAACCCGGTTTAGGTGGGTAACAAGGCACGTTTTCTCACGCATCTCACAATTGTGCTGGAAGTGCGGGCATCCGTCACCTTGTTTTCTTAAATAAAGATAAAAAAAACTTGTACTGCAGGGGAGTGTTCATTATCAGGCGGGCTGGTAGACGGGCTGGCAGGTGACCTGACAGGTGGGCTGGTAGGTGGGCTGGTGGCTGGCAGGTGACCTGACAGGTGGGCTGGTAGACGGGCTGGTAGGTGACCTGACAGGTGGGCTGGTAGACGGGCTGGTAGGTGACCTGACAGGTGGGCTGGTAGACGGGCTGGCAGGTGGGCTGGCAGGTGGGCTGGTGACGGGCTGGCAGGTGACAGGTGGGCTGGTAGACGGGCTGGCAGGTGACCTGACAGGTGGGCTAGCAGGTGGGCTGGTAGACGGGCTGGCAGGTTGGCTGGCAGGTGGGCTGGTAGACGGGCTGGCAGTGAGCTGACAGGTGGGCTGGTAGACGGGCTGGCAGGTGACCTGACAGGTGGGCTAGCAGGTGGGCTGGTAGACGGGCTGGCAGGTGGGCTGGCAGGTGGGCTGGTAGACGGGCTGGCAAGTGAGCTGACAGGTGGGCTGGTAGACGGGCTGGCAGGTGACCTGACAGGTGGGCTGGTAGACGGGCTGGCAGGTGACCTGACAGGTGGGCTGGTAGACGGGCTGGCAGGTGACCTGACAGGTGGGCTGGTAGACGGGCTGGCAGGTGGCCCTGACAGGTGGCCCTGACAGGTGGGCGGGTGCCGGGAGGGTGGTGGTGGTGGCGGCGGCGAGGCTGTAGTCAGCTGGTCGCCGCGGGTTGACTGGTGCTGCCAGCGTGTTGGGACGCGCTGAGGCCCAGACAGGTCTCGCCTCCTTGACCACCATAGTGTTGACAAACATTATGTACATATGGCGTCATATGGTCACGCGTAAGAGGATAGATAGGTTTAATAATAAATATAATAATATATATATATATATATATATATATATATATATATATATAATATATATATATAAACACTAATTCCCAAGTATCCAAGATCTTTTTAAAAACTTAGTCTCTGATAAAAATAAATCATTGCTGATGTGCGAGGTGCAGAGCGCGCCAACATTGACGGTGGTTGTCCTAAGCCGAAGCCAAGGCACGGTGACATTCCACGATAAGTTTATATGCATTTGTAAATTTTTATATTGCTTTAGGTTGAGTGCAATAATGCTACGCTGATAGTCGAGACCAAAATTATTCGACAGTTTATAAGTTTTCCTAACGTCCCGCCGCTCCTTATTTCCCACCCCCTCACTACCTCCCCCTCACTACCTCCCCTTCACTACCTCCCCCCTCACTACCCTCCCCCTCACTACCTCCCCCTCACTACCCCCCCCTCACTACCCTCCCCCTTCACTACCTCCCCCTTCACTACCTCCCCTCATCAACTAGCCTCCCCTCTCACTACCTCCCCCCTCACTACTACACTCCCACTCACTAACTCCCCCCTCACCCTCCTCTCCTACCTCCCCTCTCACTACCTCCCCTCTCACTACCTCCCCTCTCACTACCTCCCCCTCTCACTACCTCCCCTCTCACTACCTCCCCTCTCACTACCTTCCCCCTCGCTCACTACCTCCCCCCCATCACTACCTCCCCCCTCACTACCTCCCCCTCACTACCTCCCCCCTCACTACCTCCCCCCTCACTCACATCCCCCCTCACTACCTCCCCCCTCACTACCTCCCCCCTCACTACCTCCCCCTCACTACCCTCCCCTCTCACTACCTCCCCTCTCACTACCTCCTCCCCCTCACTACCTCCCCCCTCACTACCCTCCCCCCCTCACTTAGTCCTCCCCCCTCACTACCTCCCCCCTCACTAACCGTCCCCCCCCTCTCACTACCTCCCCCCTCACTACCTCCCCCCTCACTACCTCCCCCCTCACTACCTCCCCCTCTCACTACCTCCCCTCTCACTACCTCCCCTCTCACTACCTCCCCTCTCACTACCTCCCCTCTCACTACCTCCCCCCCCACTACCTCCCCCCTCACTACCTCCCCCCTCACTACCTCCCCCCTCACTACCTCCCCCCTCACTACCTCCCCCCTCACTACCTCCCCCCTCACTACTCCCCCTCCCCCTCTCACTATCCCTCCCCCCCTCACTAACTCCCCCTCTCACTACCCTCCCCCCTCACTACCTCCCCCCCACTCACTACCTCCCCCCTCACTACCTCCTATCTCACTACCTCCCCCTTCACTACCTCCCCCTTCACTACCTCCCCCCTTCACTACCTCCCCCTCACTCACTACCTCCCCTCTCACTACCTCCCCTCTCACTACCTTCCCTCTCACTACCTCCCCTCTCACTACCTTCCCCTCTCACTACCCCCCTCTCACTACCTCCCCTCTCACTACCCTCCCCTCTCACTACCTCCCCTCTCACTACCTCCCCTCTCACTAACCTCCCCTCTCACTACCCTCCCCCTCTCACACTACCCTCCCCCCTCACTACCTCCCCCCTCACTACCTCCCCCCTCTCTAACCTCCCCTCTCACTACCTCCCCCCCTCACTACCTCCCCCCCTCACCACCTACCCCTCCTCCCCTCACTACCTCCCCCCCTCACTACCTGCCCCCCCTCACTACCTCCCCCCCTCACTACCTCCCCCCTCACTACCTCCCCCCCTCACTACCTCCCCCCCTCACTACCTCCCCCCCTCACTACCCTCCCCCCCTCACTACCTCCCCCCTCACTACCCTCCCCCCCTCACTACCTCCCCCCCTCACTACCTCCCCCCTCACTACCCCCCCCCCTCACTAACCTCCCCCCCTCACTACCCTCCCCCCTCACTACTCCCCCCCTCACTAACTCCCCCCCCTCACTACCTCCCCCCCTCACTACCTCCCCCCTCACTACCTTCCCCCTCCCTCACTACCTCCCCCCTCACTATACCTCCCCCCTCACTACCTCCCCCCCCTCACATGACCTACCCCCCCCTCACTACCTCCCCCCTCACTACCCTCCCCCCTCACTACCTCCCCCCTCACTACCCCTCCCCCTCACCCCTCCCCCCTCACTACCTCCCCCCTCACTACCTCCCCCCTCACTACCTCCCCCCTCACTACCTCCTCCTCACTACTACCTCCCCCCTCACTACCTCTCACTACCCTCACTACCTCACCCCCCCTCACTACCTCCCCCCTCACTACCTCCTCATCACTACCTACCACCTCCCCCCTGACTTCCTCCTCCTTCCCCATCACTACTTTCTCCTCCTTCCCCTTACTTCCTCTTGCCCCTTACTTCCCTCCTGCTTCCTCTTCCATCATCAACTATCTCCCCCTCATACTTACTCCATCAGTCACAACTGGGGGTCTTGGCTAACTTGGAGGTGAGAGTGAGGGAGCCCGGCCTCGCCCCTCCTCCTGTCGCCTCTGATGCATTACTTGTGAGGTGGGCAACTTGCCTGCCCGTGTGGGGGCTGAGGGGGAGTGGTAGAGCAAGGGGTGTGTTATTATGGATGAGGGAGGGAGCAATTGTGTATAATACTAGGGTTGAGGGAGGAAAGTAGGATGAGAGAAAGGGTGAAAGTGTGTGAGGATGTGTGTGGTGGGCTGGATAAACAGGGATTGTGAGAGGAAAGAGAGAGGGATGGGTGAGTGTGTGTGAGAGGGTGTGTAAGGGAAAGACTGTGGGGGAAGGGGAGCGAGGGGAGGGAGGGATAATCGCGAGAGGCAATATCTAACTGTTTCCGATTTACCTAAATGAACTTCCAGAGGAAAGATGCTTTCAGATGACTGAAAATGAACGCGAGGGGTCAAGGTTTAAAGAAGGATTGTGGAGGCTTCTTCAGGACGACCCGAGCGAGGAGGACAGCTTCAGGAGTCGGCAAGGGAGTCGAGGTAACATCAGGCCTCTAGAGCATTACAGGAACCGGCCGTCAGTGAGCATAGTCTGTAGCTTTTTCCTTGAGTCACCTTTTTTTGTTTTAAAATATGTAAAAGAAGAGTATTGCAGGACCCCCCTGGCCACACAATGGGTGTTACAGGACCCCTCTGGCCACACAACGGGTGTTATACAGGACCCCCCTGGCCACACAATGGGTGTTTGCAGGACCCCCATCGGCCACACAATGTGTTGTTACAGGACCCCCCTGGCCACACAAAGGGTGTTACAGGACCCCCCTGGCCACACAATGGGTGTTTCAGGACCCCCCTGGCCACACAATGGGTGTTACAGGACCCCCCTGGCCACACAATGGGTGTTACAGGACACCCCCTGGCCACCACAATGGTTGTTACAGGACCCCCCTGGCCACACAATGGGTGTTACAGGACGCCCCTCTGGGCCACACAATGGGTGTTGCAGGACCCCCTGGCCACACAATGGGTGTTACAGGACCCCCTAGCCACACAATGGGGTGTTACAGGACCCCCCTGGCCACACAATGGGTGTTGCAGGACCCCCTTGCCACACAATGGGTGTTACAGGACCCCCCTAGCCACACAATGTTGGTGTACACAGGACCCCCCTGGCCACACAAATGGGTGTTACAGGACCCCCCTGGCCACACAATGGGTGTTGCAGGACCCCCTGGCCACACAATGGGTGTTGCAGGCCCCCTGGCCACACAATGGGTGTTGCAGGACCCCCCCCCTGGCCACACAATGGGTGTTGCAGGACCCCCCCCTGGCCACACAATGGTGTGTTGGCAGGACCCCCCTTGGCCACACAATGGGTGTTTGCAGGACCCCCCCTTGCCACACAATGGTTGTGTGCAGGACCCCCCTGGCCAGCACAATGGGTGTTGCAGACCCCCCTGGCCACACATGGGTGTCAAATGGTGTTGCAGACCCCCTGGCCACACAATGGGTGTTGCAGGACTCCCCTCTGCCACACAATTGGGTGTTGGCAGGACCCCCCCCTGGCCACACAATGGGTGTTGCAGGACCCCCTGCCTACACAATGGGGTGTTGCAGGACCCCCTGGCCACACAATGGTGTGTTGCAGGACCCCCCTGGCCACACAATGGGGTGTTGCAGGACCCCTCTGGCCACACAATGGGTGTTGCAGGACCCCCTCTGGCCTCATAATGGTTGTTGCAGGAGCCCCCTGGCACCACAATGGTGTGTTTGCAGGACCCCCTGGCCCACACATGGGTGTTGCAGGACCCCCTGGCCACACAATGGGTGTTGCAGGACCCCCCTGGCCACACATGGGTGTTGCAGGACCCCTCTGGCCACACAATGGGTGTTGCAGGACCCCTCTGGCCACACAATGGGTGTTGCAGGACCCCCCTGGCCACACAATGGGTGTTGCAGGACCCCCTCTGGCCTCATAATGGGTGTTGCAGGACCCCCCTGGCCACACAATGGGTGTTTGCAGGACCCCCCCCTGGCCACACAATGGGTGTTGCAGGACCCCCCTGGCCACACAATGGGTGTTGCAGGACCCCCTGGCCACACAATGGGTGTTGCAGGACCCCCTCTGGCCACACAATGGGTGTTGCAGGACCCCTCTCTGCCACACAATGGGTGTTGCAGGACCCCTCTGGCCCACACAATGGGTGTTGCAGGACCCCCTCTGGCCACACAATGGGTGTTTGCCAGGACCCCTCTGGCCACACCATGGGTGTTGCAGGACCCCTCTGGCCACACAATGGTGTGTTGCAGGACCCCTCTGGCCCACAATGGTGTGTGGCAGGACCCCTCTGGCCACACCAATGGGTGTTGCAGGACCCCTCTGGCCCACCCAATGGGTGTTGCAGGACCCCTCTGGCCACACAATGGGTGTTGCAGGACCCCCCTGGCCACACAAATGGGTGTTTGCAGGACCCCCTGGCCACACAATGTGTGTTGCAGGACCCCTCTGGCCACACAATGGGTGTTGCA